GTTCCTCCTTTATTCCCAATCGAACATGGTTGAACAAGCGGTCACGTGCTCCTGCGTACACCAGTCACCTGGTCACCGTGCCTGCAGGGTACAACTTACTAGCCTGTTTGACCTTTTTTGGGTGCAGTCCTGTCACTCGAGTTGAACCTTGGTGTGAAAGTTGTCGCCTGCTGGCGTGGTGACCAGGTGACTGGTGTACGCAGGAGCACGTGACCGCTTCTTCAACCATGTTCGATTGGGAATAAAGGAGGAACGCTGCATCGTAGCCTTTTCGGACCAAAACCAGTCGACTCAGCGTCCAAAAGACTACAACATATGGGCCAATCGCGGTCATCCGTGCTTTTATAAGAACGAAATGGCGCTTTTAGTGACATTTTGCATACAAATCCCCATCTAGTAGGGCGCAGTCACCCAGTTTCGGTGGAAGTGCGCGAGTTCGATTGGGATTCAAGTAGGAAGGGAGCGTCTCAGCTTCCTCGGACCAAGACCATTCGACTCAGCACCCCGAAGACTACAACTGGTGAAATTTTAATTTTTGCCTCAACTTCCCCTTTAAATTATTATATGCACCTCGTTAGAATAATGGCCTTTACAGTACAGTGGAACCTGGTTAAGAAAAACAGTTTATTGCATTCCCAACTCGTCACAACCACGCGCTCTCAGCCGAACCATACAGCCAACAGCAAGGACACTTCCGTTGAGAGATAATTTTTTCCACGCCTCCAGACAGCTGTTTCGCTCCCTGCGTGGAAACATAATTATAATCTCTCAACGGAAGTGTCCTTGCTGGTGTCTGTATGGTTCGGCTGAGAGCGTGTGGTTGTGACGAGTTGGAAATGCAATAAATTGGAAATATGGCCGAAAGCTCTGTCGCAATATTTAGTTAAGAAGAACACTGATAAGATAAACTGTTTTGCATTAGAAGAGCCAGTATCCGGTACTCTATTGCATAAATCACTGTGTATTCACGGGGTGTATAGTATGGATAAGAGGACCACCTGTTATTTGCGAACAAAAAACATCGGTTATTTAAGTTGGCGTTCGTTTTTGATCTACAGGTTTGGGTAGAAACTACTTCTTTCGGTAGAGGTGTTCGTTTTTTGAAAAACAATTCTACTCAAAAGGGTAGACTCTACTTTCCTCTGCCGGCTCTACCAGGAAAAAGTAATTAGTTGGTAGAATCCGGTAGAAGTTGGTAGAGAGCTACAGGATTTCCAGCAAGATCAAGGATTTGTATACAACTCCATACAAAAAAGAAACATTTCACGTACACATCGTGTAAACTACTAAATCCGGTAGAACAGCGTTCGTACACTTGCCTCTACCATCTACCTCTATCGGTAGAGTGACTCTACTCTACTCTACCAGTTAGCTAAACACGAACGCAGCCTTAGTGTTCGTCCTGAAAAGGTTTAACTATAATTATTGTTACACGTACTAGCTTTATTGGAGTCTTCAAATGTCTTGCTGCTTGATCCGCGGTGCAAGCAGCATAGCGCACTCTACAGAACAAAAATCCAATAGCAGAGTCACTCACCTACTTCGCAGCACGGCGTAGCAGACTAATCACGGCAAGATTGCCTTGGTCCGTGAACGGCTGTGCCCGGTCCCGCGGAAAATTTGGAAAAATGCACCCGGGTAGTTACAAGAACACTAAGGATCTGAAAGAACACACTCTTCAAGCTCTTCAACAACGACACTACTACAAGTAGCCGCTAGCATTAGCCGGTAGCTGTTCCAGCATAAACAGTGGGCGAATCATTTTTATTCCAATCCAAATAATTAGCAATAGAAAGTTAGAAACTACCGTACTGGCAATATATGTTGCCGCGTAACGCGTAACGCAGGGGGGTGCGGCGTAACGCGCGACCAGGCTAGTGCGACAAATTTTCGTTGAGTTCGTAACGCGCGTCCGGCGGGGTGCGGCGATCTTTTCATTGCAGTTTGCACTGCAAAAAAAAGGCTGAAAACTGTGAAAGCACGTGTACCGCGTGGTGAAAAGTAGTTTTTGGAGGAAGCGCTCTTCCCCTATGTCACTTTCCCTTTGATGATCTTTTTGTGAACAGATCACTCTGATAGTTAAAATATACAGTCTTCTATTGATATCGTTGTCGCCCTTTGCCGTCGGGTTTCCGTCGGGTTTGTAACAGTTGGATAGCAACTGAATTTCTGTGCCTTCAATGTGGATGAAAAGAAAAAATGATGCGGCAAAAGCAAAAAAAATGATGCAGCAATAGCAAAAAAAGTGATGCGGCAATAGCAAAAAAAGGACTGCGGCAATATAGAAACCTGTGTAACGGCTCCTGTGCGACTTTGCATGTAACGCCCTGCGTGCGGCAAACATGTGCCAATGTAACGCTTCATGGCCTCACTGCGGCAACATATATTGCCAGTACGGTATCAAAAAGAAGGCATGAAGCAACAGCAAATGAAGGTATGCGAGAAACACGCATTTTCCAGTGTTAATTTAGCGCAAGGCATTTAATTTCACCCTCAAACACCACACTGTGACCACAGCATGACAGTCATTGTACTAGTACTTCGAAGTACAGTCTACAGTACATAGTCCCAAACATGGAAACAAGAGCCTGTTTGCAGCTTCATGTAGCATGCACTCTAAACATTGGCTGATGAATTATTTCTTGGTCAGCAAGCAAGCGGGGCTAAAAGGTGGAAATAGTGCCAGGAGTGGGTTGAGTGGGAAGTGCGTGAAAAAACCAGTGCGAAAAGGTGCGACCCAGAAGCCGCAGTTTCACTGATGCTAACGTAAAAGAATGCGCACAGAAAAACGCAGTGCACACTCTCGAGTGTAGTATGATGCGGAGAGGATACAATGCACAATCATGATCGTTACGATGATGTTTGTCAGTGATATGAGTTCACAGCTCCGCAGCCTTGCTACCAGAATCAGAGAGCGCAGTAACTCTCGAAACAAGGACAAGGTGAAAGGTAAAGTGCTTGCCGAACGTAATGCCGCCAGGCGCCAGCCATCAATCAGAGACTTGACTTTGCCCTTGGGAGCAAGGCAGTGCAACGTCTGTAGCTGGATATTTTACGCCATCAGAAAGGGTGATAACTAGCTTACACTAGGTGATTGTCCCTCAGAAACTGAGACAGAGATACAAAAAAGGCACCAATCTGACAGAGTACTGGTACATTCACGACTTGACACCTTGCTCCAACATACACTACCTAGTACCTGCGATGCGGAAACGACTTCACAGGATCAGAACTGAAGTATAATGTACAAAGTACAGGATTTGTATACTGATGCAAACACAACTGCTCCCTATATTTTATTATATCAGTACACAAATCCTGTACTTTGTACATGTTCTTCAGTTCTAGCCTGACCTCGTGTAGTTCGTTATACTATCATTATGTTAACATACATGTATAGTCTCTCTCTTTTTTTTTTCAAGGTGAAACCATGACAAGTGTAAGCATTTCGAAGTAAGTGAGTGTTAGGCGTGCAACTGCAAACATAGTAGCACTATTACTCACACCAATGTGACCAAAGGTGTGGACGCAACTACATGTATAATAGCATTGATTCAGCAACAGTATTTTTTCTTCAGACTTTTCCCGTTTGCATCTTTTCCGTCGGAGCCAATGAATAATAATATTTATAGAAAGGAAAAAGGACCAAGGAACTACAAGTAGCGCTATATTGTCCACTAACGCCACCAGTTACTAAACAATCAGCTCATGCGATAACATTACACGACACTGACCGACGGTACTGACGTTCTACAACTAACTGGCTAACACCTCTAGCACTTCTTGGATGCGCACTCCAACAGCCTTCCAACTTGGAAGGTTCTGAGTTATAGAAACAATATTGAAGGGAAGGTGCGCGCAACCAAGACTAGCACATTCAATATGGTAGTTCCTTGGTACTTTTCTTTCTATAAATTTATCCTTGGCTCTCCATCCGAGTCCAATAATAATATTAGAATCTCAGCCTCAGCAGCCGGGCGCGGTGGCAACCTTGTTCTTATTCATTATTTTTATTATTATTTTATTCCACCATGGCGTGACGCCAATAAGGTCGATTGATAAGTGTGATAGATTTTTCTATTTCGAAAAGCGATCCTGTCAGCTTTTCTATTATTGTGTTTTTCCTTGGGGTTGCTTCCAAGTACAATGTACTGTACTGTCTGTAGCATGTAAAGAGCCAGGGCCGAGCCCATCTCCATCTCCGGAGTCCGAAGTGCGGATGGTATTGGCATATGGGTCAGTCCTGTCTGGCCTTACCTACTTTCACTGCCCGCGCTGTGTTGTGTAGAATGCAGCAGGATTTTTCATTCTATTCTCTATCTCTCTTTTCTTCATGCCAGGCGTGAGCCATCCCCTGGGTTAACGCAATGGGTGCTATATATTCTTCTTTTTTTAATCCAGCAGGATACGGATAAAGTGGATCTCCTGCAGTGATACAGGCTCCATGTCCATGACCTCCAGGAGCTTCTTTCGATCTATGATACCCTCGTCTGCTATTCCAATCCAGTAGTAATGGCGACACCAGTGGCCCTGCGTGGATCCAGCAATGGAACAGGATAGGTGCACGGCTCATGGTCTGTGACCTCAAGCTCCACAGGCAGGGGCTGGTCTGGCACGAAACCTAGCCAATTCACAAAATGGATTACTGAAATCCCAAATATGGACGACTAACGTAATTGATTGACTGCGTGGAGGGGGTGGGGAAAACGAAGCCATGCAGCCACAGCCACCGTGCTGTACAACAGTTTTCAGATCAACATGTCTTCTTCATAAACTCGCAGAACTAGCACACCATAAAGAATACATTTATAGTAAAGAAGGTTGGCGTATCCTCCGGTAACGAAGAAGGTGTAATAACAGGACTTTGAAAGTTGGACTTCTCAGTTCAAATAGGATTTTAGCCTCAGTTTAGCTCACTTGAACGAATGAATACAATAGCGGTTATAGTGATTTAATCACAGTAGACTAGAGAAGCGCCTTTCTCCCATACCCCCTGTGGAATGGCAGCGTCACAGGACTACACTCGGATTCTTCGTGGTGATCTCCTTGGCACACGACACTGGCGTCTTGTCCTACTGTTGGCTGTGCTAGTGTTGTCAGTGACCACCCGGTTTGCACATGCGTATCCCAGCTACGCGCCTTTGATACCGAACATTGTGAACGCCAACACTGGTCTGTCCTTGGTGCCCAATCCTAACACTGAATCCTCAACGTAAGTCTTGGCCACATGGCGTAGGTCAATGTCTGCTATGGAGGTGTGACTTTCTTAAAACTAAAATTGCCCGTCGTCCTTGGTCGGCCGGGCGGATACCTCCATTTTCACCGATCCCAGGGCATTATACTCCATCTGCATGCATTGATGCTGTTTAGCTGTAATGACTTCTCTGTATGAGTTGGTTATAGAGGGCAAAGCGTGCCATTCAGAAAACAAAGTATGGACTTAGAAGCAGCGATGTCTTCGGAAACAGTAGACGAAGTATACGTTTTTTATACAAAAGAGAAAGACCAAGGAGCTACAAGTTACGCTATACTGTCCACTAACACCACCAGTTACTGAACAATCAGCTCATGCGATAACATTGCACGACACTGACCGACGGTACTGACGTTCTACAACTAACTGGCTAACAGCTCTAGCATATCTTGGATGCGCACTCCAACAGCCTTCCAACTTGGAAGGTTCTAAGTTATAGAAATAACATAAGGAGGGGGAGGTGAGCTGATTGTTTAGTAACTGGTGGTGTTAGTGGACAGTATAGCGTAACTTGTAGGTCCTTGGCCTTTTTCTTTTGAATATATTAAGCCTTGGCTCTCCAGCGGAGTCTATAAGTTTTTTTAACTTGAAACCACGCACCCAATTCGTAAAACAAGAAAGAAGGAGGAAATGACAAAACAACAGACTAACAAGACATTGACTGAAGTTGCTTGCTCCTACATGCACGTGGAGCTCGCGATCACTACAGAGTTGCTTGACTCAGGACTGGCTCAACTTTACAATCAAGAGCACGCTAAAGATCCATCTAAAATCCCACACCGGGAACCTGCAAAGAAGGGCCATTCCCTCCTGAATACACAGTTTCATCAGTTGAGCTGGAGTAGGCTGTGAACTTTCTGCTCCAGGAGCTAAATAGCGCCAGCACTCCAGCAATCACGAGGGATAAAAACTTTCAGGAATGCTCTTTTTCCAGTACGACAAATACTTTGCGAGGCCCGAGGTAGCAGCGGGATTCAACGAGGGACAGATGGGAAGCAGACAATGGGAACCGGTAGACAACGCAGCTCTAACCTCCAGAAACTAGTCACCTGACCAAGCGATGGACAACAATACGAATTTAGAAGTAGAATGCCACTTGTGAGCCCGTCTATGGACAAGTGAACCTGTACCTAGAATTTCACATAAGAACAGCCCAACTTCATCCAAACAAAATGTTATTCAAATGTCAGTCCATGAAATGGTACATGTGCAGCGGGAATGTCCTCCATCACTTTGCACTGAATGATTGGGTGGGAAATGCCATGTCCACAGACTACATACAGTAGTTGCTTAGGTGTCCTCAACGCCTGTTTGAGTGATGATTTAGATCGGCGACGGAAGGCACGGTCGTATTTACACCACTGTTCTCTTTGTACAGTATGTGTTTGTACTATGCGTGTTTGGTGCGCGTGTGGGTTCGCGGGCTTGTGTTTGTGCATGTGTGTGTGCGGGTTTTTGTGAGTATATGTGTGTGTATTTATGTGTGTGCGTGTGTGTGTGTGTGTGTGTGTGTGTGCGTGCGTGTGTGCGTGTGTGTGCGTATGCGTGTATGTGTGCGTGTGCGTGTTCATTATGTGGACGCACGGCATTGCATTAATTACATGTATGGTGTTTTGCTTTGAACCAGGTCGGCCATGCAGTCACACTGTTTGACAATAGGGCACGCGGGTAGCTGTTTTGGTCCTCTACAGGGTATGTCAAGTCTTGTCTTGGTAGTTTTAGTGTGTTCAAATAATTCACTACACATGTGCACACAGTACACAAGGCAGAACAACAGAGACCAATATGTTTCTCGTGGCTCCGAGTTTCGTGTTTTACTATAATTACTCATCCGATGCTTTTAAACTCGAAACTCAGAGCCACGAGAAAGCTGTTGGTCTCTGTTGTTCTGCCTTGTGTACTGTAGTACGGTCTGCTCTTGTTACGGTATTGAGCACTATAATTCAGCAAGGCCCCCAGACGTTTTGTCCACACATATACATGAATACATACACATTGTTGTGAATTCCAGCAGAAATCCAAGAGAGCTCGATACCGGGAAGGTAGAGCCGTGACACACTAGTCAGAACAACAGATGGCTTGATCAGTCAGTGGCTTGATCAGTCAGTGGCTTGATCAGTCATGAATACATACATGTATACATGAACAAACAAGGCCGGTCTAGGAAGCTCCAGGTAGAGTGCTCAATGTACATGTACGAATGTACAGAGCAGTATACACTAGCTAACACAGCCTTTCGCCTCTGT